GTCTTTGGTTTGGGATTTCCCCATACTGTCTCATTAAAAAAAAAACTGTATATCAATCTCTACGTCATCGATTATCAATTAAATTAAAAACTAGTATTTCTAATGTAATCGGGTGGCAATGCAATTATGTCGGAGAGCAGGAGACTCATGGTACAAGTGTAACCTACTTTAAGCGCCTGTCTCCCACCCAGCTGCCTATGATTGTTATAGTACCTAGATTACACGATGTACATTTCGGGAGAAAATAAACAATTTATTGTATATTTATTTATGAACGTTTCGTAACAATAACTCGCTAACAGTGTAGAAAAACGTTGCGATGTAACTTGCACGTCAAACGTAAAGTCTAAACCTACATTGGTCCACCATGGCGGACTATTGCCTACACTCACTCCTCATAGTAGACTTGCGCCGTGTATGTGGTTGACGATGAATTATGAGTGAAATTCGTAAAAGTTGTAAACTATAATTGTGACTTTTTTATAAAAAAAATAGACTAACTAAAAGTTTGCGGAATTACATCGATTTATCAAGTTTTATTGAAATTGTTTACCGGAAAGTGCGCGAAACCGGATTCATCTCCTAGTTTGCCACCCATAGACGTGGATATTTTCTTTAAATTTAAATGGAACCAATACTGAGGTACCCTCCTTCCAATAAAAAAAAGTCATCAAAATCGGTTCACAAGCCGGAGTAATCGCATAACATACACAAAAAAAATACAGTCGACTTTAGAACCTCTTCCTTTTTTGAAGTCGGTTAAAAATAGCGTAGGTGTTCATGTTTTTCAAACAATATACAAATCTCGCATAATATATTCCTAGAAGTTAAAAATAGCGACTGGTGAAATTAGAGACTTGTCAAATTATGTCTCAGGGTGACGGGTGGAGTGGCAGTGCCCCTCAGATCTTTGCGATTTAAAGCTCTGAGTGGCATTCGGTCGGGTGCACGAGTCGAATGATTATTATATCGGAACACCTCATTCATCATATCCATACCAAAATATCCCTGTCCCCGTCACATTTACAGTATTTACCATTATGTTGGAGAGGGCTAGGTGATCACAAGCAGAAATACTCTAGGGAATCTATGGATTAGTTTAGTATTACTAATTAGTAATGCATGATCATTCGAATACGAAATTAGTAGGTTAGAAATTTGACATTCGAATGTCAGGATTAGCCATTATTAACGAGTCGAATATCAAAATCATTCACAATCGCGCATCGCTAATTGCAACTGTTATGCATAGGCGTGAGGCTTAGCACCAGCACAACTTGTTCTTCCCGCCGCTTGATATCAAAACTAAAAAGCTTAATCGAAGCTAGAATACTTCATTGTAAATTACGAATAGGTATCCATCTGAGGAATGCGTCTAAAAAAATTTAATTTGAACAGCGTTCGTATTATGCATTTTTTTAATCAATATTTTCAACGATTCAATTTGATTGAATTATTTTATCATCTCATTAACCGGTCTTGGACGGCGCATAAGAAGCTAAATCAGGCTTTATCATTCAAGTACTTTAAATATTGTGCTTCCCACCTCGTAATACCGTGCTATTTTAATCACTGTTGTAATTTTGATAAAGCTCGTATTATTCATTGAAAATGTTTCTAGCCAGCCCTATTGATCATCGACTAATTCGCATGAATTTTATTCGAAAACTTGAAATAGTGACAATAACCTCATGGCGGCATGCCAAGTCTATGAAAGTCTTGTCAAATACTTACAAAAGTAGAAAGCTCGATCAACATTAATTCTCTACCTGACCATAGGGAATAACTGGCCGCTGAAAACGAGTAAGTCTACGAATAATTTATCATTCTGCGTAGATATGCCAACAAACAGTACCACTACCACGAGTGTATAGCGTTGAAATTGCCTGTGCCGACGAAAATTATTTGTATTGGAAACTTAGTTTTGTTATTGTAACCGCCAGGGGCACAGTACAATTTTGCCACAGAAATATCGCGCTTTGAAATAATACCTTCACTAAAGGTCCCCATGTACGGGACGATTTGTTTTCATGATTCGACGATCGAAACGACGAATCAATAGTGTATTGTCATTAACGATTGACTTGAACGCCAAGGGAGTAACGACGGCTCGAATCGATTATCATGACGATCGATCGAAACGAGGAATCGTCTGTATATGGGGACCTTTAACGAAAATCTCGCTTTTCCAAGCTTAAACTTTGTAGACTTTTTTGCTTTGTGACGGTATTGGTTCCAACGTGCGTTATATTACGCGATCACTAGCGACTTTGTCACTAGCTTTGTAGTATAGGTACAGCAGCAGGTTTCACACGAGAATGTTATGTTTGCAATGTTATGTGTAAACGTTCTTCCCATTATTTTGAAATTAGTTTCTTGAAATTGTACTAATTGTATGTTTTCGATATGTCCCACGTTTAAATCAATGTTGACATTAAGAAAACGTGAATTTTCAGAAAATAATATTTAAAGCTTATGAAAATAAGTTTAAATTTGAAAAAAGACGAGACTCGCTTAACGACGTTATTGTTTTGAACGTGTGACGTAATGACAATTTTGGATTTTGGGTATATATTATTTATAAAGCCGGATCTACATTTGTCTGACGTGTCGTGACGTGGCACGGCATCCTTTCCAAGGTGAGGCGTTACTTCACACCGGGACAGTTGCTTCAGCTGTACCAAGCACAAGTCCGCTCGTGTATGGAGTACTGCTGCCACTTATGGGATGGCTCTGCTAAATACCAAATGGCCACCTTGGATTCAATAGACAGGCGTGCTAAGAGGCTTATAGGTGATTCGGAATTAGTAGAGGCAAAGCTGCAGAGCCTTGAACACCGCCGTAGAGTTGCCAGCTTATCGGTATTCTACAGGATATATGACGGAGAGAGTGCGATGGAATTGCATAATTTGATTCCGCCTTCCCCTTTCCACCATCGGGAGTCTAGACGTGGGCAGGGGTTCCACCCCTATGTTGTGGATATTCCCCGGATTCGCATGAAGCGTTTCGCTTCCACATTTGTATGACGAGCGGCTAGGGAGTGGAATTCCCTGCGTGCAGACTTGTTCCCCGAACACCATACTTGGACCTTTTCAAGGCGAGAGTGAACAGGCATTATTTAGGTGTGCATGCTACATCCTCGACCTCATCGTCACTTTCCATCAGGTGAGATGGAGGTCAAATGCGCACTTATTAAAAAAAAACCCAATACCATTCTGACGCGTGACGACACAAGACGTCGGACAAATGTAAATCCGGCATTATTTACTTGTTATGTTTAAAATCTTTGTTTTCTTCGTAAATAGGTATTATTATATTTTGTAACAAAATAACATTTTGTTTAAATAACGAATGAAATTCAAGTAATATCGTTAAGTTTAAGGGCAAAGCAACTATACGTCCAAAGGCTTTCTATTATACCGGCAAAGCTTGAGAACACCTAAGTCCTTTTAGGAAGATTAAAAAAAAAATTAAGGCGTATCATGCCCAATATTGTCACGTGACCATTTTAACCAATGCCCTGCTCGGCATTTACTCAAAATTGCATTCAGCACATTTTAAACGTGTTATTAATAATTCAAAAGATTAACTATTTAGGATTGAAACTCTATTCTTGACACACAGCTATGTGCATTTATCGAAAACATAACTTTTACATGAAATGTACAAATAATATGTGACTTTGAAGGCGTCAGATCTCCATAACCGTACATTAATAAGGTGTGTAGATGTAGCTATGTAGTATGAGTAATTATAACTCAATTAAGAATCACGTAGACCATGAATAGAATAGTTTGCCGTGTAACATAATAAGTGATAATGAGCACACTTGAAGTATTTAATTATTTATTTATTTTTGTTTTCTTCGGTTTCCATTTCACATTTAAGGACGTGTATTTTTGTTACGTAATTTCTATTAAAATAAGTAATAAAGTAATTTTCTACATAAAAGCATTTAAAAACTACTGAACACGAAGATTTATGATATGACTGCCTCGAAGGCCGAACGGTTACCATGCTGGGCTGCCACGCAGAGGTTCATTTGTACGGCCTACATTTATTTATCTCGTGAGTTTGGGTGTCATTTGTGGTTGTCTGTGTGTGTGCCTATGGCACCCGCAATACAGCGTCTTCCTAGTGCGGGGCTATGAGCGTGTGCGTTATTTATTTATTTATAGATATAAATAGTAATACATGTTCCAGATAACCACACCAATTGCCTGGTCTCAATCTAGGGAATTCCCTATACAATGATAACCAGAGAACCAGTGCAACGGAATTCACTCCGGGGCACTTGCTAGAACACCCAGGCCGGAACCAATTGAGAAACGTTAATTTCCCAATTTGATACTACCGGTAATCGAATCCGGGATCTCCTCATCCAGCGCCCATTGTATACTTGTTGTTGTATACATTGTATAACCGTTGGGCCAGCGAAGTTGTCGAAATAATTAATTTTCGGTGCAAACTGGTCACTATTTTGTCGTTGTCTAGTATCTCACTCGACTATTCGTTAGCGTTTGCAATAGACCGTCTAAGGGTCGTATTCTAGAACTCTACTCAATGCTCAAGTCAGGATTTGAGTACGGTTTAAAGCACTCGAAATCATACTCAAGTCCCTGCCATTAGGGTCGTATTTCCAGTGCTTGTGTTTCCAGTGCAATCCTGACTTGAGCATTGAGTAGAGTTCTAGAATACGACCCTAAGAACGTAACCGCAAAGAGGTAACAGCTGCAATATGTAAACAAAACGACGATGCAGTGACGTCGTACAAGGACGTAAATACTTCTTTTCGGCTGTTTCATATGGAAACAAACTTATTATATATTTTGTCGTTGTCGGCAAGTTAATTTCCTCAATCTATCATTCATAACAATGGACGCCATAAGAATGTAACGGCAAATAATTTTAAGACCTACAATAACCGGTATGATTTATATTTTTTATTTGTCATCTGTGTGTAACGTGTCAGACTTGTTAATCATTTATGAACTCTATAGGTGGCAAATATGCATCCGGCCAGTACACATACAAGATCTACCATCTGGCGTCTAAGGTGCCGGCATACATCCGGTTGCTGGCGCCCAAAGGCGCGCTCGTCATCCACGAGGAGGCCTGGAACGCGTACCCTTACTGCCGGACTATTCTCACAGTATGTATACGAATTTATTTTCGTAATGGTAAAACCTTATGCTTTTTAAAAAGCAATTTCGTACCCTAAATATAATCAAGCCACATGATCATACGTCATAACATGAAAGTTATAAAAATAATACAAACCACTTAAAACCAATAATACGTGAAATTTTATTACTCAACATTAAAAATCTCTCCTGAAAGTAATTTTGCAGATGTGGCCTTATTACACCATGGGTGCAATAAGGCCACATTTTTGAGAAATAATCTACTCAATATCGAAATTTTTTATTGATGCATCTACTTTAACTGTTTTATAATCTTTGACATTTGTAGAAATACATATTTTGGTTTTATTCAAATATAATTTTTTGTCAAATATTTGGACGTCTTGGTACATAATTTTTGTTATTAAAATTGACCCAAATCCCTATCAAACTAAATGATTGACTGACTAATTAAATCCGTGCACATGTACGTGTGGTATTATTAAAAGAAAAACAACATGTTACGCTTAGTTTAGTCTGTTGGAGTGCTTGTGATGAACATACAATATACCATCAATATTTTTGCATGTCTGATATTTAGCCGGGTAAAGTGGAACTAATTTTGGTACATGTCAACTTCTAGACAACCTGTTTCCATTAACATATGGGTTATGAATGAAAAATGAAATAAGTGTTTTTGTTAGCGTGTTTATTGAGTATGTTTTTTTAGAAATGTGGTTTTAAATTTCGCCAAACGAATAAATTTAAATTTCGAACAGAGAAGCCATAAGCGGTTGTCAACAAAACTACAAATAAAAAAATCCGAGTTGATAATAGTGGTAACGCCAGGTATAGTTTCTCTGATTCCCGTCCTAATCCGTGCTACGCCATAGCCATACAAATCGCCAGTGAAATTAAAAAATAAGTGTGACGTTACAAAAAAATTGAAAAATCCGCATCCGCATCGCAAATATTTTATTAATTTAAATATCCCGCTTCTCCGCCCGGCATTGAGCCGCGTACGCTATACATTACATGGTGGCGTTATTGGTGATCAGCCGCACGTGAAGGTGTGAATGAGACGAGCTCTACGACTTTTCAGACATAAAGGTTGGTAGTAGCACGGTTTCCATTCCTTTAACTTGCGAGCTCACCTTTATCCAGCAGCTCCCCACGAGCTATCGAAGGTCGTTTTTAAATTTTTTTATTATAGCGTCACCAAATAGGCCTAATTTAGTGCGTGTGTCGCTAATACTGGACATTGAATGTCGCCACTATTTTAGTTACTATAGTGTCATTATAAGCAACTTGTCCATTCTGAAAAAAAAAAAAACGATCTCGTCAATTATACCGCTCCTCTGTCCGAACACTCGAATGCCTCAGCCATCACTATATCTTTGAATTTTACTGTTATCTTCTACTCAAACTATAGATTGGTAAAATATTTTAAAATTTGCAATGACGAGACGAATCTAGAATTGAACGATGTGTTAATATCTGGTGCTAACGATGATGGAATCAAGCTATAGTCCATTTCACAAAGTATAGGTACTGTGACATTTCAAGTTTTTAAGTTACATGCATACTATTTTTAATAACTCTCACAATCAGGCCCCAAAAAGAATTAATAGAATTGTTACAATAGATCAAAAACAAAAAACATTTGTTTCAATCGTAAATCGTAATATTAAGTAAAAATTACAGTCTATAAAGTAGATAGAAATTGAAATGATAGAGATAAAATAAATTACCCCAGCAGCGTAAAATGCAATATTTATCCATAGAGATTTACACCATAGAATGGATAAATCGAATCCGGCTATTGTGTCAATACGTGTGCATACACATTGTATGCGAGTGTTTAGAGCTTTGCGTGATGCGTTTTTCAGTCACCCCAAGTTTTTCAGTTACATTTTTTTTATGGTTTTTTAAGTAATTTTTCAAATTTCGTTTCGTTGCTGTTGATTTTACGCTTTTTTGTTTTGTTGTTGATGATTTTTTAAATTGTTCTGTAGTTTTTTAGCAACTTAATAACGTAATAATTGAATCCTTTTATTTTGCTTATTAATTGTTCTTAAACTATAATCTCTAAATCGATTCTCTTTTCATTATAGACTATCTCGATGAGATATTTAAATCTTTTTTTTTTTTCATTCAATTTTACATCACTATAATCTCTAGAAACTTCAAATCTTAAACGTCACCGTACCCATACTGTGTAAAATGAACTTTAGTAGGTCGTATTTGGGTCTTGAAATATCATTATGTATACATGTATGTATTCATTTCCAGAACCCTGACTACATGAAAGACAACTTCACTATCTGCGTAGAGTCCCTGCATTTACCAGATGCGGGCGATCAACACAATGTGAGTATCACATCTTACAAAAAACTACTTACAGTTTGAGAATAAGGCCTATAAATATGGCTCTGCAGCATCAAAGAGCCTTTAACTTCTTATACAATTTTTAATTATTTTTTATTATTCAATTTGTGTACAAATACTATAATAAATAAAATACATATTTAGTAGCAGTAGAGCTCCTCGTGAAAGAGTTCGTCCAGGAAAGTACTACCACCTTACCTATTTCTGCCGCCAACAGTAACGTAAGCATTACTGCGTTCCGGTTTAGAAGGGTAAGGGTGCCGGTGAAATTACAGGCACAGGGGACTTGTCAACTTATGTCTCAGCGTGAGGGGCGTGGTAGCAGTGCCCCTAAGATTCTTTTGGGGTTTTTTGTCTTTGCGATTCAAAGCTCTGAGTGGCACTGCAACTGTTATGGATAGGCATGTCGCTTACCACCAGGCGCACGACATGTTGTCCCGTCACTTGGTATTATAAAAAACAAAAAATACAAAATCTTTGTCCGAGAAACTTACTGATGTTTTTGACAGCACTCTAATCATAGCAATGATTCGCTTATTCCAATGTCATTATTGCAATTCTTCATTATTATACGAGGAGAGGTCCAAAAGTCCGCGTAATGGAGGGGTTGTAAATAATATAAAACAATAAGGCTATTTTTCCTTTTCAATATAATTACCTTTGATCTCAATACATTTTTTAGATCTCGACATTAGCTTTTCTATGCCAGCGAAAAAATATTTTTTCTCTTTGCTCTCAAAATGAGCTAAAATTGCTGCCTTAACCTCTTCATCGTCGCGAAATTTTTTCCCACGTAATTCTTTTTTCAAATTTGGGAACAAATAATAATCGCTGGGGGCTAGGTCCGGGCTGTAAGGTGGGTGGGTCAGCGATTGAAAGCCACACTTGTGTAGAGCAGCCATCGCAACATTGTTCTTGTGAACCGGTGCGTTGTCTTGCAAAAGCAACACACCCTTTGTCCATTTTCCCCGCCTTTTTTCTTTGACAGCTTCCTTCAGTCTCTCTAATGTTCTTGCGTAATATTCTCCCGTTATATTGACTCCCTTTTCTTTGTAGTCAACCAATAAAATTCCTTCACAATCCCAAAAAACCGTAGCCATGATTTTTCCAGCCGATTCCGACACCTTAAACTTCTTAGGGGGTGGTGTACCCTTTTTATGCCATTGCATTGACTCCTGTTTGGACTCGGGCTCAAAGTGATGAACCCAAGTTTCATCTCCAGTAACAATTTGCTCCAAAATTGGGGTAGGTTCTGCGCCACACAGCTCCAAGAAGTGCTTTGATGCATCGATTCTTTGTTGCTTTTGAGGCGGCGTGAGCATTCTCGGCACCCATCTTGCACTGACTTTCGTCATGCCAAGATGATCGTGTAGGATCCTCAAAATGGTAGTGTCTGATACTCCTACTAATGCAGACAGCTGTTTCTTCTTCAGACGGGCATCTTCCAATATAAATTTTTCGATTTTTTCAACATTGTCTGATGTGGTGGCCTCAACTGGCAGTCCTGGGCGAGGATCGTCTTCAATTGATTCTCTGCCATGTTTGAAAAGACCGTGCCACTTGTAAATCATTGTTTTACCAGGGCACTGATCCCCATAAACAGTTTCCATCTCATTCATAATGGTTTGAGGAGGTTTTCCTTGCTTGGTAAGGAATTTGATGATAGCACGAAACTCGATTTGCTCCATATTTGCAGTTTTCTTCCGGATTTACTTGTTTGTAGGGCGATATCTCGTAAACTAATGAAGTTAAAAGGGTGAAGCTTGATATATATACCCCTAATGAGTATCTGATTAGTACCACATCAAGCAAGCATAATTAGCGGGCTCCCGCCCCCTCCATTCCGCGGACTTTTGGACCTCCCCTCGTAGATCAATGATTTAAGCCAATGTAACAGGAAAAAACCATGAAGAAAAGTAATCTATATTTATAACATAGTAAAAAGCCTACAGCTTACAAGCGAAGGATTCTATAAATACCACCACTTTAGCGAAAGAAAACACGTTTGACCTTGTTTCCGATGTAAGATAACAATTTTTTTATCATCTATAAACTCTATTTATTTCACATATCTCGTATATGGGCTTGTAGAACCTTTGTAATAAGTTGATAATAAAAAGAATGCCATTTAACACCTGAAAAATATACATTACGCGTCAAATTGGAATGATTAATCGATTTTTAAATTGAATCCATAAATAAGGCAATAAACGTATCGTATTAAGGCGAAATGGTATCGTGGTTGCATAAGCTTTAAGCGCGTGAGGTACAGGAGAAATTCCTTGCAGAACATTTAAACATTTACCTTTTAGAAATAAAATATAATCTCTTACTGTAAAAGAAGGTCATAGACCCGTCGTATTTATTACTTAACACCAGAAAGAAAATTCCATTAAAATGTTTTTAATAATAATAGCAATCGAATGAAACTGATTCTTCCGTGGATAACGTAGTAAAAAATAAAATTTTGCGGAGCTTAATTTTTTTTATTTCATCAAGGGAAAAGTCAATCGTGTTTCTGGCCCCATAGTCCACTACCAATATATTATTGTCATTAAAAAAATGGTGAATTCGTTTTTTAATGTCATGTGAAAAATCGATTTTATGTGTGGTCGCAGTGCATGTATTTTGGGTCTCACTTCACCTTAATAATAGTCGTAAGTTATTGTGTGCCATATTTGTGACACACATAGGGCTTTTTATCGCATTACAAAATTCAAAATTGCCACTGAAGGATTAGTTGTAGCACTGTATATTCATTTATATAATTATAATATCAGTGGGTTTTTAAATTTAAATTATGCTTTGTAATGTTATTAAATCTGTTTTTTAATTTGTTCTTATTTCAATTGTTCTATTGACACTTTTATTTATTCTGTCCTCATCGTCATAACTATTTGCATTTTGGTAACCTTAGCGTCAATTACGTTTATTTTGCTTAACAATAAAAAAACCAAATAATTAAATTTGTATTGAATGTGTATTCAATATTTTTTTTGTGAAATTACGGATCAAAGGATTTTTTTCTAAGTGTTTGATCTTTAATAATTATAACAAACTAGTGGAGTATCAATGGACACTCCACTAGTTCTAGTTCCGTTTTGTTCAGGTATTGAATGAATACAAATTTAATTACAGATAATAGCGACGTCTCTCGCCAGGGCTGGTAGCTGTAAAGTTACTTAACATTCACAATTGTTTTTTTGAATGGTTGGAATAATATAAACAATTAAAATGGTTAATAAATTGCAAACACAGAAATAAACACCACAGTGACCATTATAAAAATATCGTATAATCACTATGCTGATGTTACATGCGACATCTAATCACACTTAAGTGTTGCGTACGACAGAATGAGTAGGAAATATTCAAGGACTATAAAAAACGGATATCGTATTCTGATGCCGTAATAATTTCTCTTAAAGTGTTTTTATAAACATTCTTACTGTGTAAATTAATAATAATAATACATATTATTTCCAGTTCTTAGGTTTTTTCGTGATTGATGAACATTGGAAATGTAACTTTTTTTTTTCCGGCAAACAGCGTGTATTTTTTTGAAACAAATCAATGTTTCGTACTCTTTACAGGTCCCATGTTTTCGGGAGACTAGGTATCCCTAATACAAAAGAAAATTTTACATTTTTATCGTCAACAAATAAACAATCTTGTCTATTTATATAATCTAAAAAATTACCTGGTGACCTATAGTACAGGTCCAACCTAGTTTAGGCACCAGTCTTCCATCTCACAATTTTCACTGTATGATGTTATTTACGATAAATACCCTGTAATTTGTATTGTTAATGTGGAAAGAACAATAAATAAATTATTATTATTATTATTATCACCAAAACGTCTGAAACTGCGACGCAATCTACGTATCAACATAAAAATGGCTTTCGTACCAAATTTTATGTGATTTAGTGGAATAGTTTTATAATTAGAGTGGTTTTGTTGATTAGAGTAGAACATTTGTAGAAAATTACAAAAAATCATAACTTCCAAACAGTCGATTTTTGCGGAACTGGTGTTTATTTTAAATGGGTTATTCCAATGTCCTCTACCTAACAACGGTTTGCACTGTAGGCGCTGGATGCGAAAATTTCGGGTTCCGAGATTCCGTGGTCGATTCCCGGTAGGTTCAATTTGGAAAATGAACTTTTCTAAATTGGTTCTGATCGAGATGTTCCGAGTAGTGCCCCAGAGTGAATTCCGTTGTTCTGGTACACATAGTACAGGGAATTCCTTGGTTTGAGACCAGGCAATGGGTGTGGGTGTCTGACACATTATTATTGTTTTGTATGACCTTGTTGAAAATTTTAATTTGTAAAACTGGGAAAACTGTTTTTTGATATAACAAATATTCTTGTATTCTAATTCAAACTGACTCGATTTGTGCGTCCAGGAGTGTAATCAAATATGAAACGTTCTGTAGGTGTTCACATATGTATACATACAATCATCAACCCATTTATACGTCCCACTGCTGGACACTGGTCTTTTCTCAGGCTAGGGTTTAGGTCATAGTCCGCCACCCTGGTTCGTTGCGGGTTGGGAACCATCACACGTTTTCCGAGTGTTGTGAACCTTTGACGTGCAGGTTTCACGACGATGTTTTCCTTCACAGGAAAACTCATGGTAAATTTAATAGGGATTTTCTTAAATAAATATCATTTGTAATTTAATTACAAATTCTTATTCTCACCAGATGAGCTGTGGTGACACTTGGTCGTACGTAAAATATTCTTCTTAACGCACATGCACTTCCTATTATCATTGCTTTATGCATCTACATTTAACAAATACATTGCCTAATGTACGTTAACATTAAAACACATACATAAAAGTAAATTATTATTATTAACTTTACACTACAAAACAGTGACATATTAGCTAGGAGTCTATGTTTAAACTACAAAGTAAATGTACTTTTTTTTTCATAACAGTTGCAGTGCCACTCTGAGCTTTAAGATCTGAGGGGCCCTCGCACTGCCCCCGTCACCCTGAGACATAAGTTCACAAGTTCCATGTGCCTGTAGTTTCACCAGTACCCTTACCCCTCAAAACCGGAACACAGTAATGTTGACATTACTGCTTGCCGGCAGAAATAGGTACGGTGGCAGTTAGAGGCGGCTCTTGGGAGATTTCAGTGGGAGTTCACTTTTTTATACGTATTTTAAATAAAAAATTAAACTCACATTATAGTGTTCCATTTGAAACAATGCCACTAAACAACACTATGCTTCTTAACAACGATTAAATAATAATAATTTTTACAACACAACACAACAAAACGCGCGCGAAAAAAACGCGTAGCTTATTTGCGCGGAGCACCGCTGAAATCTTGCTATATTTCCTCATACTAATCTTTTGTTTCACGTGTCGCGCTGTTAATAAATTTCTCTTTCGCACTCATAGAATTCAGTACTGAACTTTGTAAACAATGTCGGTTCACAGGAGCGCATCGCGAAGCGCTCCACTCAAGAGCCAGTATGCTATACTGTAGAGAGGGTCGTAGCTTGGGTTTTGCGTGAGGCACTTTTTAAACATAAAACAGGACTATATCCATGAAATAAATATTTATTGGGTATTTTCAGTTCGAAGCCTGTTCTAGAACAACCAAGATATTCTTTCTTTTCAATCCAATTTTTTTATATAATTCTAAACTCAAACCTATATTCATTCAGCTAGCACTAATACAAACCGTAATGCGTAGCCTACATCCCTCTTCCTTAGAACTGAAGGGGAGAACATCCCTAGTTAGTGCCCTACCTATGATAGGCAACTTACACATATGATCAGCCTTTACTATATAGGCTAGCCACAATACTATATTAAAGAGAAAGATAAAAATCTAATTGTGTTTGTCGTTCAGTAATAAAAAAAAATACTGCGGCTACTAATATAATATGAAAGCATAATTAATAAATTTATTTTGGTGGGTTGGATAGGAGTGGGAGTTCACTGCACCAGCGCTCCTTAGGAGAAGCCGCCTCTGGTGGCAGTATTACCCTGGACGAACTCTTTCACAAGGAGCTCTACAGCTTTTAAACGTTGTACACTAACTATATCGGTGAATAATTACTAAAAATATAAAATTTCGGAAACTTTAACTATTATAATCTAATAGTGTCCTTGACACTGTACAGTAATAATGTAAGTGAAAATACCGTTTTAGGTAACAAATGGGAAGTGAAGAATAACACGATATTTGAAAATAAAGGTGAACAACTGAAAATGTGCACTAATAGTGTGAATTTCTTTTGACTACTTCATATTTTTTTATAGCAATGAACAAAATGTAACAAATGGGAAGGGAAGAATAAAACAGCATTTTAGTAGCAATAGAGCTCCTTTTGAAAGAGTTTGTCCAAGGAGGTACTGCCAAATTACATATTTCTGCCGCCATGCAGTAGTGTGAGCATTACTGCTTTCCGGTTTCGAAGGGTTAACGGAGGTGGTTAAATTACAGGCACATGAAGACTTTGCCAACTTATGTCTCAGGGTGTCGTGCGCAGCGGCAGCGCTCGTCAGACCTTCATGATTTAAGGCTCTGAGTGGTACTGCAACTATTATGGATAGGCGTGTCGCTTACCATCAGGCGCACGACTCGTTTGTCCCGTCACTTAGGGACTATAAGAATATAGGAAGACTATAGGAAATTAAACTATTTTGCCGGATTTAAATGGTGTATATTTTGTAACTATAGTAGAAAAAATAGGGTGGTTTGCATTAATATTAGACTAACTGGTTGATGACTTTACCACCTCAGTCAACCGTGACTATGGAACCTGTAAAGGGCCCGAAACGTTGGTTTGTTTCAAAAACAAATATGTGCCATTTAAATCCGGAAATATAGTTTTAATTGTAACAATCACGAAAACCTAAAAACTCGATATTAATTAAACTATTTTTATTTGCTTTTTAGGTACACGAGTTATCCCCAGAGAAGCTAAAGAACCGGGAAGTGATACACATCGATATTGCCAACGACCCAATCCCGGCATCGGACTACAAGCCCGAGACCGACCCCACTAAGTTCAAGTCGAAGAAGACCGGCCGCGGCCCCTTAGTCGGCAACAACTGGAAGAAGGAAGCCCAACCTGTTATGACCTGCTACAAGCTTGTGACGGCCGAGTTCAAGTGGTTTGGACTACAGGTTTGTAGTCATTACTTTTATGTTGTATTTAAATCTTCAGTCTGTTCACTAATATAGGTGTGCATGCGTCGACCTCATCGATATTAGGTGAGATGGATGTCAAATGCACACTTATTTTAAATAAGTTTTTTTTTTAAATTCGCCTCACCAATGATCACTTGCTTTAATGGCGAAAGAAAACATCATGCCGATACTATAGTTCATTTCACATAGCATGATTACGGTGACTTTTGAGATTTGAAGTTACTAGAGATGTGATGATGTAAAATCGAATGAAAAAAAAAAACGATTTCAATATCTTATTGATATAATTTGTAACGAAGAGAGAATCGATTTACAAAAAATAATTTAAGAACAAATAATAGGCAAAATAAAAAGGATTCAATTAATATGTTATTAAGTTACCAAAACAACTACACAACAAAAATATCCACAACAAAGCATAAAATCAACTGAACGAAACAAATCTCAAAACAAAAGAAAACGACACACGTACAAGGTGTATGCACTCGTATTGACGTGAGATACACAATACCATATTCGATTTATGGTGTATAATTGTCTATGGATAAAATATTCCGTTTTACGCATCAAGAAGTGATTGAGGTAATTTATTGTTATCTTTATCATTTCATTTTTTTTGTACATAATGTACTATGATTTTTATTTAAAATCACTTTTTTCTATGTTTTTGGTACATTATGACAAATTTCCTATTTATTTTTATAATCTGGTTGAGAGATTAGTTAGAAATCGTATGCGTGTAACGTTAAAATTGTAAATGTCACAGAATGTCCTATGTGAAGTGTCTTACTAAGTTACTTAATACACGACAGTTAAAAAGACCAACAAGTCCATCAAAATAGTCGTTCATAATGTCGCACTGCTATATCAATGGTGTTGTAACTCAAAATACGTGAAATTTAATATTATATCATTACTCAACGTAAAATTTGATTCTGTACACGTCAAAACAACTGTCGTTAGAATATTGTAAGAAGCAATCAAAAGATATCTACTTAACTCAAAATGAGACACACTTTATGTGAGCTATTTCTGACCAAAATAATCCTTATTCAAAACAATGAAATAATTTTTTCCATTTTATATTTAAATATATTTGAGAAATTGTTTAAGTGTTTATAATAAAACTATAACATATTAATTTTAATTATTTTTTTTGCGGGAAGTGAGTAATTCGTTTTTCATCCATTCTGAGAAAGTCCTCTTTTTCAGTTAATACACTATCATATTAACAGTGCGATGTATATTTTTTTGTACAAAATTCTGTAACAATTATTTTTTATTACGTAAAAGAATAACTTTTTTAAATGTTGAACTTTTAAATTGTTTATAACGTAATAGGATAACGTTATTATTACATACCGTTGCAATAATCCTGACAGTTACGAAAAAATATTTGTGTTATGTACTGCAGATAAGGTTCAGTATGTAATGTACTTCGGCCGCCACTCCCCATCTGTAAGAATGCCATAAAAGCAAGATAACGATTGTACGATATCGTTCGATGTCACGATAATTTTCGTTGCTAGTTTTAACATTTGCAAAACATTTTTACTATGTTAATTGTTTTTTTTTTTCAGAGTAAAGTAGAAAATGTCATCTTGAAATCAGAACGGCGGTTGTTCACCATATTCCATAGGTGAGATCATTCAGATTATATACAGCCTTGGCCAAAAGTATTGAGCACCCATTATAACTCACAGTTTTTTGGGGAATATGAAAATGAAATAATTTGAAACAATTTACACATGTTAATATTACTATTTATTAAATAAAAATCAATATTTCGTGTCCACCCTTTGCCTTAATTACGGCAGAAATTCTTTTTGGTAGAGAGCGGACAAGATTCTTACAGTCTTCAGGACGTATAGCGTTCCATTCTTGGCGCAGACGGCGTTTTAGTTCTTCCTTTGTATTTATTGTGTGGCGCCTGACGTTGCGCTTTAATAAACCCTATAAATGTTCTATGGGGTTTAGGTCCGGAGACTGGGCAGGCCACTCCAGAAGCTCAATGTTTTTTTCTCTAAACCATGTCATAGTGCTTGCAGATTTATGACATGACGCGTTATTCTGCTGAAATTTGACGCCATCCATATTTGTATCGCCAAAAAGAGTTGAAAATGAGGGCAGCAACGCAGATTCCAGGACGTTGATGTATTTTGAAGAGTTCATGCGACCCTCACACACAAACATTTCGCCAACTCCTGAATCAGTCATGCAGCCCCAGATCATTATGCTGCGTCCGCCGTGTTTTACGGTTGGCACTATACAGGCTGGACTAAATTCTTCGCCTGCCCGGCGGCGCACAAAAGTCACACCAGGTGTACCAAAAATCTGAAATTTTTTAAAAATGTAGTGACTTCGGAAATCTAAAATATTTTTGTTATTGAATTTTATTTTCAAATCACATTGTTTAATATCTTAAGAACGTGAAATTGTCTAACTCACCTCAAAGTTTGACTCGTCTGACCACACGACATTTGACCAATCTTCTTCGGTGAAACTTTGATATTTTAAGGCCCATTCATACCGACCCTTCTTGTTGTTTTGTGAGAGCCATGGTTTCTTCCTGGCTTTACAGCCTTTCAGACCAACTTCCTGAAGCCTTCTTCGAGTAGTGCGAGCAGAAATAGGTCTGTTAATTTCGACAGAGAAATCAGCAGCGAGATCTGAAGAAGTTTTCTTCCTATTTTTTAACGACTCTCTCATTAACTTTTGGTCCTCACGATCTGTGGTGATGCGTTTGCGCCCTGTTCTGTATCTGTTACTATGGGACCCAGTAGCGGCGAAACGCTCAATAGTTAATTGCACAGATCGGCGCGAACATTTCGCAGTTTTAGAAATCTCTACCTGTGATTTCCCTTGCTCATGCAGAAGTTGTATCTGCATACGTTGTTCTAAACTAAGTTCGTTTTTTTTAGGCATATTGCAACAATATCACTAAATGGAACCAAACAAAATACCAAAAGCGCACTAGATCACTGGATGTGTACGTAACGAATGATAGTAGTGAACTGAGAAATAAATACAAAAATCGTAAAATGACAAATTTTATGGCACCAGGTGTTTTATTGCTAGTTACGGTGTGGGGGTCATTGTTTTTAAACCTTTGTAGATGCCGAAAAATAATCCTTAACAATAGGACCTGTTTTCTGCAATACTTATTGTGCCCGTTCGGGATTTTTAGGGTGCTCAATACTTTTGGCCAAGGCTATATTTTCAGATGTAAAAATTAAAAATAACTGCTAATATAATAATTTCATAACTGCACTGCTATAACAATAGTGTCGTAACTCAAAATTGTTTATGAATGGATAATCAAGTATTATGTTTAAATAAAAATAATCACATTATTCGCAATAAGTACCATTCATTTTTTTTTTTAATTTTTAAACTATGTTTTCTTACTTCCACAATTTTGAGTTACGACACCTTGTAATAGCAGTGCATATTAATTTAATAATTTAAGTCGAAATCTTGCAATGTTTCTGGCAACTTGCGGCAGATGTCAATGTTTAGGCTATTTAATGTACACTTGTTCTGCTACAAGGTAATATTTTTTGCAAGGGATTTTACCCGTCGACAAGTTTTACTTGTCGTATACTTTTACTACGTAATATCAATTGAATGGTCTAAATAGTGATATTAGCAGGGTTCTGTCACTCGCTCAAGATTACGCGACAAGTGCTTACCGCTGAGTGCGCCGACGTCGGCGCAGGCGCTAATGCAAGTCTTTCATTTATGAGCATTCGGCCCCGCACGATTACACACTAAGGACAACGTTATTTTCACCGCTCTGAGTGCGTGCTTAGGTTCCTTTTTCCTCGTAGTGATCGCCTGGTGTTATTAGTCAGATTTAGCAGGCTATTATAGCGTAGGTATTTTCGATTTCGTATGAGAGTGATGTATTTGTTACGTAATCTGTGTTATTAGTCGCAAGCTGGTAGAAACTTGCTGTACAAATCAAATTGAACCCGAATGCAGTCATAAGTGGGCGCTGGATAATGAGGTCCCGGGTTCGATTCCTGCGTCTTGGGAAATGAACATTTCTAAATTGGTTCTGATCTGGATGTTCTGGGTGGTGCACCAGAGTGAATTCCGTTGCTTTGTTATTCATAGTACAAGGAATTTCCTAATTTGAAACTGGTTTTGTTTACTTATTACTTATCCCTTTTTCGCTGTTTTATTTTCATTCCAATTACATGTATGTGCCAAGTGTTATTCAAATCGGTTGTGAGTTGAAATTCCATAAACCAAATTCATCTCTTAATTTGCCAACCTTATAGGTGTAATATTTTCTTCAAATTTGAATGGGACACTACTGAGGTACCCCGTTTTCGACAAAAAAGTGTCATTGTAAAAAATACAGATGAACTGAGAACCTCCTCCTTATGAAGTCGGTTAAAAACAAGTCCCTAGATAGTAAATTTTGAAACGATATTTATAACGAATGATCAATAGAAATATATTATTTGATCTACGAAAACGTATAACCAATTAAAGAGTAGTAGCTATTCAGTATACTTTCAAGTCGATTGAATGCCTCTGGTTTGCACCAAGTGCAAATGGCAACTGATAGAAATCCGACGAAGCACGAAGATTGCCGAGAGGTATTTAAAAATAGTTTTACTGTATTATCAGCGGGGCTCCGAATAGGTAGAGTTTTTTTACCAAAATTTCGAGGAACAAAGACAGAAAATGGAGTAATAACAATATTTTTTTAGGTCTTGGACCTGTTCGGGATTCGGGAAATCATTTAAGTACATTAAAATTGATGTAATTGGGGACAGGCAGGTACACTATATTTATCTTAACTTTGCGACACAGTGGGTCGGATCAGCATATGCGGACATTGGATTTTTTCACGATGCCTTTCTAAAAAAATGCCAAGCGAGAGATCCTATTTAAATATTGTCATATCACATTTTACCATAAATCTAATAGTTTAGTAAGAAAAAAAATAAAATATGTATTTTATTAAAATGTGTATTCTGTTTTTTTCCTGTACCTGCCTGTCCCCAATTACGTCAATTTTTAATTTTTTGTGATTTCCCGAATCCCGAAAAGGTCCACCAGGACCTAAAAAATATTGTCGTAAGACAGTCTCCATTTTCTATGTTCTTCGAAGTTTAGGTATAAAAACTACCTATTCCGATCCCTGATTATCAGTTACGTTCATCATAGCTAATTGTTAATAATTACAGGGAAGTATTCTGCTCCATGGACAATTGGTACGGCATGACGATGGCCGACATTCGCGCTATTGAAGAACGTACTAAGGAGGAACTGGAGAAGCTCCGCCGTGAAGGGGAGGTGCGCGGAATGCGTGCCGAGAACGAGTAAGCGGCTAATATATTGGTACAAACGCGGTTGTAGTAGACCACACGATATCTCAAGTTACTTCCTAGACATGTCATCTTTGCATTCTTTTGACAGCTCTAAAAAATATTGCTTCCACACTACACACCAATGGTATAAAAGGTAAAACAATTTTAGATATGTCAGATTCAATTAATGTTCGAAATATATCGACGTGGATTATTTGACTATCAATTTCTTTAACAGATCTAAGAATAAAAAGTATTGTCATCCCTTTCACACTCGAAGAGTATAAAAGGGAAGCAATTAGTGTAGGAATAAATATCGACGTGGATTATTAGACTTTCGTTTCTCTTGACAGATCTAAAAAGTATTTCCATCCCTTTCACACTCCTATTGTATAAAAGGGAATGCAATGTTTTTTAGATTAGGTTAAATTTGGTGTCTCAGAGTCGGAACCTTTAAAGGATGGCTTACGTTATACTTTAAGTAAGTTGGTTACAAGTCTAAAATTTAGACATGACTTTCCTTGGTTTTTGAGCCCACGTTTACCGACCATTATAAGCTGAGCCCTTTCCGTTTTAACTTGAAAGTCAAACTAACCTGTGTGAAGTTAGAAATCTTATGCAAATTTGCAAACAAGTAACTTGTTTTTGTTTAATATCATGACACGAAATTTTACTCTGAAGATCAGGCTGACTTTCAACTTGAAACAGAATACGCGTCTCCGGTAGATAAGGTGCTAAGGTATTTATTTGTCGGCCAGACTTTGACTCAGGTCGAAACCTGGCCTATATCTGGTGAAAATAAAAACAATTTTCCAAAAACGGCCTAACCTGAGTCATCCTTGTATTTATGATTTCAATCTGCGGAGAAGATGAATATTGAAATTTTAACTAAAATGAATTATATAGAAAGGAGAAAGTTACTTAGTATAATAATATTATTTTCGTTATCAAAAATTATTTCTACGAACAAGTAAGTCTACTCGAGCAATTTATATGAAGTTTTACGTAGGTCTTGTCTATACTGCTACATAATTTAAATAAGTATAATTAAATATTTAATTAAAAAGACATACAATTGTAATGATTTTTAAAACAATATAAATGTGTACAAAACTGCTGCATCCGCGTTGTGTGTCAATGTAAATTTAGCTTTACGCGTGACAATCTTCGAGCGCATTTTCTCAATACGTCCTAATTCTTATTCGCATGGTGTTAAAGTCTATTTATTATTCACCAAATCGGAGTCTATAGAAGAATTGTTAAATTAAGTAAGTTATTATATGTTGAACCCTATTCGTTAAGATGAGTTTACTCTTGCTCTGCATGCGCCAAAACGACAGAAACTGTGGAAGTTAAAATCGAACAATGCTGAAGTGGCAGTGCTGACAGATGCGCCCTTTTAACTCCGTTGTTTTCTGTCATACGCATTAGCGGAGATTAGTCCGTTTTGGTGGATAACGAGCCTTAACACAATACAAACATAAAGCTAGCAGAAAACCGTGGAACATCTATATATTATAGGTAGGAAATTGTTCAATAATGCCTAATGAACTTTCGCGCTCGACGTTTGTTCTCAACGCTCATACGCCTCAACCTCGACAAAAGAGATTACAACAGACTGCTGGCAGTCTTTCCCTATATTAGAATGATTAAAAATACCTATAGAATTGTTAAAAGTACCACCTAGAACCGCATATTCATTTCTTTTTAAGACTGCATTTTTGTAAAAGTGGAGGCGAACGGAGCGGTTCTAATAAAATACCGTATACAATTTAAATTTACAGACGTTGACGAAAAGTCTACTACTAAAATTTAATGGTAATTTGCAACCGTACAAAATTATCATAATGCACAGGGCGCATTCCTACTATGTCGAGAAGACAATGTACAGTGTCGTGGATTGTATATTTAAATGAAGTTGTTCACGTATTGTACAACACGATTAATTGTCGTTCGACTTTTTTGAGGTTACGGGAAGAGCTAGAACGACAGTCGTCCGACAATAAATAAAACGACACAATAAAAATGTGACGACAGACAATCGCAGCCACTAACGTCGTCACATTTATCGTTGTCTCATATTTGCAAATGACAAGGCGACTGCCGTGAAACGATACAGTCCACGACTATAGTCGTGATATGTTAAACGCAACAGTAGTCCAACGATAAATATTGGGAACGCGCCCTTACTGTGTACAGATGTTTAGCAATGCAGATTCAAGTGCTATATACTCATACGTTTGGACGGAATGTACGCATGGAAATGTTCCAAGGACCGAGCAGCGTGGAAGTTTCAAGATTTTATTTTTTACTAAGAAATTCCATTCATTTACAGTTGAAATATCGAACAAAAAAGATTAAAATATTAAAACTATTCTACAATAAGTGGGTAGTTGCTTATTTCGATGTGAGTTCGTTAATCAATCACTAACATGAATGGTGGTATGCAAAATTAACAAAGATACATTGAACGGGCAGAAATAGAAGCTACATGCAAGTAGTTTAATTGGGGCGAGACATTTGATACAATCAATTATTATTTTATTATGTTTATTATTTATAATGATAATACTTTTTTGTTTGTTTTCTTTATTATAATTATAAAGTATTTAAAGTACTTCCTCCGTGTCGCTAATACACGCACCAATACACGTGTAACCCTATATTTATACAACATCAATATCAAGATTTCATGTCAACAACACAAATGTGTTGTTGCTGTCTACGCCCAAGCTTGAGTGTAAATGCAGCCTTAAAACCGAAGGTCTCAGTCGAGGCAAAGGGGCAAATACCATTAGAGAAATAATGTCATTGAGATGTGGTATAGATAATATTTAAATAATATCTAATAAGTCGATGTAGTCAGTGGTTAAAAGGTAGTTTCGTCGTTACCTATTTAAAAAAAAGTAAAGATAAATTTTTGGACACTTATTTCACTAGCAACGAGAATTGATTCAAATATCAATGGCGGTTTTAGGCCGATATTTAAAAAAACTATTGCTGTTTATAAAAGTTCTGTTTAGGCGCCTGTTTTTAGTGAAAACAGGACTTTCTGGCTGTTGTGTAATATAATAACTTTGTACTTGTAAGTATTTTTGTGCAATGAGACATAGAACATGTCTTTTGCTATCGGTCTTTAACTAACGTTCGCACGATTGCTATGCGAACATGTTTTTAATATTTTCTTTACCAAAATTCAATATATTTTTCTAAATATCTAATTATAAACCAAAAGACATGTACTATATCCCACATAATACCATATTAGAATTCGGGCACGAATGTTAACTAGAAAAATCGGTGCAATATTAAAAAAAAATAGAATGCCAACCCGAGACGTGAAATGGTAATTTGGTTAATTATGGTGTTGCAACGTGGATTTCGGGCACTTACTTAATTTAGCTTGTCATTCTACCATTGTCTATAGCCATGCAACTTCTTTGTTATTATCGTGAAATTTTAGAGAAAGAAATGCTTCATGATAATATTCTGGAATATTTAAATAATAAAAATTGCCACCAATATTAGATAGAAAAAACTATCCTGAAAATTACCCATCCCGACTTTTTCTTATGGTAATTTTATATACCCTAGATTGGGGGACAATTTTGCCAGTCGCCAAAGCCAATAGAGTTAATAACATGGACGAAATTTTGGGAGGATGCTTTAACTTCAATTACAGTTACCAACGAGCTCTTTACTCAACTATTTTTGAGCTTTGCGAGCTTAATGTTGAGATATATTAGGAAAAAAAAAACAACCGACCGAAAAAAAATTGCGTAGTCTACCTGATGATAATGTTCTAGGGAAACAAAATCAAAGAGGTAACATTGCTATAAACATAAATAATGAATAATTATTATGTGGTTATCGGTCGTGGCTTTATAAACGGGTAGTAGGGATTTTTTTTTATTAACACGGGCAAGGGTTGCAGTATACAGATAATTAGTAGTTCAAGTTAAAATTCAAACGCCATTAGACTTCAAATAGTACAACATTAGGTATAGTCCATTTGTTTAGGTATTTAACAAAATGTAAACAGTCTTGAG